CTATACAACCGCATCGATGCTAACGGGTAGATAGCGCGAGCCCTTTAAACGCCCAAGCAGCTGAGCTCTGGGACACAGACAAGGAGGAATACAAGCGCCATGTCCTCGCACGGCACCGCGATATCGAAGACCTTGAGTGAAACATACGGACGACTAGGCTATGTTCACGGCGTTTTCTCTATTTCTGGAGAGACCAGGGCTTGGTTTCTGCATTGCATGATCGGAGGGTCGGTGCATTGTTTCTTTGGCGTCTTGTCTGTTCCTAGGGCCTTCTTGGCTCCGGGCGCAGGTGCACTGCATATTAGTACATTGGGTCTGGAGTTCGTGCGTTGCTTTGGACATTTTTCTTCTCTGGATAATGTGGTCCACAGTTCCACAGTACAGAGGAACGTGAGTCTCTGGAAATACATACACTGATTTTTTTTTTTTTTTTGTGTCTTTTTGGATCAGTTTTCTATCTTTCGAATTGGAGTTTTATACCTGAGCGTATGCTTGAAATATCTGATCTTGAACATCAACACAATGCTCGGACAGTTGAATGGTCGGAGGTATGCTACATCCAGGACGACAGTGTCTACAACAGATCGGAAACATCCTGATAACAAGCTTGCTCATACTCTGAGCCAATGTTCGTTGTCCTACCCGCTGCATCCGTCACGAAGGTATTGAGATTTTAGCCCATATTCATGACACCCCGGTAGAGCGATTATATAAACACAAAGTCTAAACTTTTATCTTATTCGTCGACCTCTACATCCTTAAACTCCGCAACAATCCACTCGCAAAACGCCTGGAAATCTTCATACCATTCCCGCAGACGGGCGGCCTTCAGCCCATCGCCTAGAATCCCATCTTCGATGTCAGAGGCCCACTCTGCATTTGACTGATCCTCATAACAGCTCCACCGGATGGAGTTCTCCACCATCATGGCGAGGCCCGTGAGTCCCATATTTTCGAGGCCCTGCAGCGCCTGCCAGAAGTCGTGCGTTAGACCGTTCTTGCCCTGACCGAGGATAGCCGGGTCGTCGTTGCAGAGGGAGACGGAGACGCCGCGGGCTAGCAGGGCGGGGAGCGGGTGTGATTTGATGGAGCTTGTGAGGCGGAGGATCTCGTTTGAGATGGGGCAGCATTCAATGAGGATCTTCTTTTCCTTGACGAGGTCGATAAGGAGGGGGTGTTTGTAGAGGGAGAAGCCGTGCCCGATGCGCCGGGTGCCGAGTAAGATTGCGTCGAAGAGGTTGTGGTCTGTCGCGTCGCCGTCACCGAGGCACTCGCCTGCATGGAAGAAGAAGGGGATGGTCACGCCTTCCTCGACGCAGCGCTTGCGGAACCAGAAGAGCACCGGGACGAGGTCGACCAGCGGCCGGCCCTGGTCTTCCTGTCCGACTACGTCGAACCCGCAGATCACGTCTGGGAAAGCGAGTTTCGTCTCGATGCATTGCTTCATGTTGGCTGCGATGTCTTTGTTGGGGAAATTGCGGAGTGTGGTCCAGATGATGCGGGCGCCGTAGAACCGTCGGCCTTGTTCGGTGCTCTTGAATCGCTCGAGCTCTTCTTTGAAGACGCGGCACCACTCGAAGTAACCTTCCTCGGGCGTATCACGTCCTTCCCGTCGGTACTCGAAGACAAAGGCGATGCGAAAGTCCACGTATCTGATTCCGTCATCGGCGAGCTGTTCGAACATGCGGCGCAGGCATGCGCGGAAGATTGGCTCGTAGTTCAGGATGGAGTTGATGACTGGGAACGTGCGTCGGAAGATGTCCCAGATGGCGTCGACTCCGTGATGGTGAAGGTAGGAATGTTCGGGCCCGAGAACACAACGGCTCTTTAGCCACTCGCGGAAACCGGCCTCTCCACCCTTGGGAAATGACGAGGCTACCTTTTGCAGAGATATCAGTCTTGAAGACTCGTAGGAAGACGTCCACATCGTAGGTTTGTCCTCTGATTCCTCCAATGGCTGAGACGAAAACCGGAGATAGAACGGTGCTTCCTCAAGCTCTTTCGTGGTAATGAGCGGTTGTGGAGCAGCCATATGTATTCCTGGGGTGGAAAAGGCCTGTTCGATCAGAAAATCAATGTCAAACATGGCATCCATGTGAGCATGTAAGAGCGACCCTTTCGGCATCTTCTGCACGATTTTCCACAAGTCGGTACTTTCCATGCGACCCCTTGCCAGATGGAACATCACCCCCGGGTAGAGAATCTCATCGGCTTCGTGACCTTGCTCCTGTGTCAATCCCTTGGACCATACTGTCTCGAGCTCACGAGCGCGGACCTTCGACACGATCTTGCATGCTTTGGCGGCCAGCGGGGAGAGGGCCTTGCGGAGATTGGCATCTATGCTGGCGATATTAACTCTTTGGAATTGAAGCTCATATAGGTGGAAATCTAACCATGTCGTTGCTTCTGTTCTTCTAGGACCAGCGCATCACGACCCTTCAGATACTGCTGGATGAAGGGTTCCTTCACTTGAGGGATGCCTTCCTCCAGCTCCCACTCGGTATCATTTGAACCCATGCTGGGAGGGCCACTGGCAAGGAGAACGTTCGTTTACTATGGTGCTCGAAATGAACCCGAGTTCAGGACTATTTTAGAATGATAAAATTTGAGAAGAACTAAGGTAAATAGAGATGATGATTAACTGAAAATTAGCAATGCTGATTGAAGTGTGTGAGGGGCAGGCTTGGGGGATCGATAGCATTCCCCACTCTGGAACCCCAGCCATCACGGCCAATGTAAGGCCTGCGGCCGTTTTTGTCATCTTGATGAGGATCCTCAAGACTCCAACCTTAACTTAGACCTGCGTGAGCGGTTCAATGGATTAATAATCTCGTATATATTTCCACGTGATCCGTGTTCTATGAGATGCGATGTAACGGTCTCGTCCATCACCAGGAAAGTTGAGTGCAATGTGTTGATTGTCTCGCTACGGAGGACTTGTTTGAGTAGAGCACATCAGCCTGAGTTTCCCGGGGATTACCAGGATACGCCAATCAGTCCAGCACTATCCCCCGTCGGAGTTCCATGCTAGCTTCGAGGCCAATTCACAGCATTCAATCTCAAACAAACCTTGGATAGTGATACTCCATGGTAACCTTGAAAGCTGGAGAAGCACGTGGCAGATACCTTACAGAGATGGTACGTAATAGCTACAGAATCCGGGGTGGCAAAATGAAATTGCCCATGATCTCGCTCAGCGCGAGGCCATTTTCCTGGGGAGATTCGACTTCGCCAACTTGCGGGTCTGGAACTTATCTAATCATAATCCAAACTCGGGACCGCCCGTTATGTGTCAAAGAATTCTAGGGCTTTGACAGCACAATAGTAACAGCTGGTACCAATGTATTTTCTCGATTGCTATCAGTATTCCTTATCACAGGGATTCGAAGACGGTAAGGTCTAACATACTGCTCCTCGACTAAGAGTGTACGAAGGATCAGGGGCAATCATCTGCAGAGTAGTAGTCTCAGTTCTCAGCTCCAACCTCAATGAGAAGCCTTATGCATCGGAGATCTCCGATCTTATATCGCAGGTGTTCACGTGCCAAGGTGGCACAATGCTAAAATTTCATGGCTGACAGGGATGATTCAGATACACTCGGCTCAGCCTGTTTTCACAGAGTTGATGATAACAAAGAAAGGGCAAGCTTATCATCAGGAACTTCCGAGGATCGAACCAGCAGTCTCTACGGAGTAACTGCGGCAATATTTGACCTAGTTAGTGCCGGGCATAAAATACCTATCCCAGTAAACGAGCCTATCGAAGTGTCATGGAAACTTATGATTCGACGCGCTGGGGCTTTTCCTGCACTGTTCTAGCTTTTCTTTTTCAGTTCTCTGCTGTTTCCCCCCGGGCACTGTAAGCCATTTCGCGACATACATAGTAGTTTTAGTTAGCTTGATGCATAGGTTGTCTGAGGGTGGCGGGTAGAATTTTTTAGCTGGAAAGACCCCACAAGCTTTAGCCCTTAAGCCCAGTCAATGTCCACGGTTCACCAGTAAACAGTTATTTCCCACAAGCACAATAAAAAGCAATCCTCGGTAGTTTAACGCGACGTCAGGATGAGATATACTGCCAACTTGTGTGGCAAGTGTCGCAGTAAATGCATCCTTAGATTCTGCAGTCTATCGGCCCGTAGCAACCAATGTCAATAGCGAGTCAGGCTCCCGAGTGCACGGTAAATGAATACCAAGAGCATGTACTGAATACCGTCAAAAGGCATGAGGCACACGACCGATGAACCGCGTGAGGACGGAGCGGAGAAAAAAAGCGCGGGTCACGGCTACACTCGCTGATCAGCCGCCAATCTCCTTGCAGAATTTCCTCCAGACTTCGGCCCATGTCCTTTTTAGTGCTGTAACACCGGAAAGTCTTATCGACCGTCGAGGGCATCGCTGGGTCTTCATTCGCTACACTGCTGAAAAGTGAAAAATATTACCGGGGCGAAAAGATAAGTAACCAGACGCCTCGACCTTGGCCTCATGCACGGCTATACTTGGTTCCTTAGCCACCAAGGCGAACAACTGTAGCCCTTGAGAGAATTTTCTTTTCAGTTTTCTCACCTGTTTTACCATGATCCTTGTCGGTGTCGAGCACTAAGACATTCTATCTTTCCTGCTCAAGGGCATTTCCAAACCCCGGACAGGTCAACGAATCAATCGAATTGCTGGAGCGGCTAATTTCACACTTCGCTGGAATATGCAACTTGTGTAATCTCCCCGCACCTGCTTGTCTGATAAGAGAGAAATCCGAGTCGATCAATTGGAATCTGGGCGCAACGCTCGTCTCCTGTTGGCTTCAAAAGAGAGTTTTATCTCCTTTCTCGGTTTCTCCCTCTCCATCTTATCCGACAGCTATCTCTAGCCCCATCCGAAGTTAAATTGACTTGGTTGCCGCCAAATTCTTTCGCGTCTCTTTTCTCCGGAGAAGACGTTTTGGACACCCTGAAAGGTTGTCGCATTCTTGGAATTAGTGATTGTGCAATAAGAACGGGACCACAAATGGCGGACGACAAGGCTATGGAGGTGAACGAGGCATCTCCCCACGAGACAACGCGACATGCAGATCCTGCGCTGGATCCCGCAAATCAACATCACCACGGTCATCCCCACCATTCGGGACTGGCCGAGAAGGGTCCAGATGATGATGTGATCTATGCCAAAGATGTCAAAGGCTTGGTTCACGACCCGACTGTGGAGGACAAGCACGCTCATAGCCAGAGTTCGAAAGATCTCGAGGAAGCAGGTGAAAGCTATCCATCGCGGCCCTTCTATCGCCGCTATAGCAGGTACACCAAGCATGTCGTGTACGCTGTCGTGTGGCTTTTGTTCACCGGGTGAGTTGTCTTCCCTTTCGACTGCACCGCATCTTCTGGCAGTCCTGTTTGATCAAAATCGAAACTCATCCGTTGTCGTCCCTCTTAGATGGTGGATTGCTGGTTTGATCCTCCATCGGCATGACTTGGGCTGGCTCATCCCGTTCCTGCTGTATCTGTGCATCACCTTGCGGCTTCTTACCCTCTACGTGCCCGTGTCCATCGTGACCAGACCGACCTATTGGGTCTGGGACCATACCGCTCGGCCATTCGTTCGCCTGATCCCCGAGAAATTGAGGATTCCCGGCGCGGCGCTCTTGACGATTGCGGTCATTCTCGTCGGCTCATTTGCGTCGGAAGAGACCGCCGATAACACCAGAGCCAACAGAGCTGTCAGTCTCTTCGGCCTTGTCGTATTCGTCTTCGCCTTGTGGCTTTCGTCGAGAGACCGCAAGAAGATCGTCTGGCACACCGTCATTGTAGGAATGCTGGTGCAGTTCATTGTTGCTCTCTTTGTGCTTCGTACCAAGGCGGGTTACGACATATTCAACTTCATCTCGACGCTGGCCAGAGAGCTGCTGGGCTTTGCCAGCGACGGCGTCGATTTCTTGACGGAGCCTAAATTCGCAAGCAAGCACACGTGGTTCTTGATAACCGTCATCCCGGCTATCATCTTCTTCGTATCTCTTGTGCAGCTCCTGTACTACTCCGGCGTCCTGCAGTGGGCTATTGGTAAATTCGCCGTCTTCTTCTTCTGGAGTATGCGGGTCTCTGGCGCCGAGGCCGTCGTGGCTGCTGCCTCCCCCTTCATCGGACAAGGTGAATCGGCCATGCTTATCAAACCCTTCGTAGCGCACCTTACCATGGCCGAAATCCACCAGGTGATGTGCTCCGGTTTCGCTACCATTGCAGGCTCCGTGCTGGTCGCCTATATTGGAATGGGCGTTAACCCTCAAGCGCTGGTTTCCTCGTGTGTGATGAGTATCCCTGCTTCTCTGGCCGCATCCAAGCTGCGTTGGCCTGAGGAGGAAGAAACTCTGACGGCTGGCCGTGTCGTCGTGCCCGAGGACGAGGAACACAAGGCTGAAAATGCGCTTCACGCTTTCGCCAACGGTGCCTGGCTCGGCATCAAGATCGCGGGTACGATTGGGGCAACGCTCCTCTGTATCATCTCTTTCGTTGCCTTGATCAACGGTTTGTTGACCTGGTGGGGACGTTACCTCAACATCAACGACCCCCCTTGACCCTCGACCTGATTCTTGGGTACATCTGCTATCCCATTGCCTTCCTCCTCGGCGTCTCCCGCGACGGAGATCTGCTCAGAGTGGGCAAACTGATCGGTGTGAAGCTTGTCATGGTAAGATTATATCCTCTCACTCTCCACTCACCTTCAACGGGGACGAGGCACTAACTCAATCTTTTCAGAATGAATTCGTCGCCTATAGCGACCTTCAAACAAAGCCCGAGTATCAGGAACTCTCCGTCCGCTCTCGGATCATCGTAACGTATGCTCTCTGCGGTTTCGCCAACATCGGCTCCCTGGGTAACCAAATCGGTGTGCTCAATCAACTCGCCCCCCAACGTGCGGGCGATGTGTCCCGTGTTGCAGTTAGTGCCATGATTACCGGCGCCCTGGCTACTTTTACCAGTGCGGCTATCGCGGGTCTGCTGATTACGGAGGAGGGCAAGTACCTTAGTCAGTGAGGATGGGATGCGTATCCTCACTATTGCCTGCAAATCATGGGAATTGTATTTTTATCATATTCATTTTGCGATTTTTCACGTGATGAGCTGTTAAATAAGCGTGTGGATTCAATCTCATAAGTAATACCAACTCTGAAGGTCTAGATCATGTCACCGCTTCCATTCGAGAGAGTCACCCAACGGCATGTTTCACCCTTTCACAAGCTTGAGATAGGGCTTGAGTGTAATTCGTATACCCATGCAGTCACCATGACCACGTGATCATGAAGAGGACAATGTCAGCGAAGAAAAAGGGAGAATTCAGTAATTCATGAGCCAGCTCAAATCGTGAGGAATGCTGGAGACCTTTTAAAAAAATATACCTTTGGATGCTTACGCGACCTTTAATGGTTCTATTTCATCTCTTGAGTCACAGCACAGGATGTCGGGGAGCTGAAATGGGATAGCCTGGTGCTTGGCCCAAACAGGTATAACATGCCATGTTCCCCAGGCATCTTAATCCTTGGCATGTCCGCGAACTAGAGATGTGCAAGGGTCTTGGGGGTTACTCCGTAGACTCGACATCACTTGCCACTGTTGTTAAGAGGCAAAATAGTATTATTCCAGAGAGCTTTCGACACCCTCACAAAGCTTACAATCTTTGTTTAGAAGGAAAGGGTTTAAGACAACTCAGTATCTCCAGGAACCGTCAACAAACACGCACGTTGTCAATGTGATTTGGCTCCGCCTTAGCTCCGCCTGACGATTGCGGGCTGATCATATCTGCTAGTTATCAGCCCCCGAACGTCATCCTATCAATCAATCAATCAACCCTCCGCGTCAACTCTTGCCTTTGCGGGATTCTCCATTTTACAAAACCGACTTCAAAACGGCCATCTTCATTTTATTATGTTCCTGCTCCGATGACATTCGAAACTCCTAGATGAGCCGCCGGTTGGCTCCTTTCGCCCAAGATGGCTTACTTCTTGCCCTCATTCTTCCAGAAACGGTTGCTCAGATATGCCTTGTCTCGGCTCGAGCTTGTTGACACCGAAGCACTAGATTTAGATAGTCTGGGAATCCGATGGGGTCAACGAAGCACTGTCGAGCTTCGGGATATAGGTCTGAGGCTTGAGGTGAGTTTATGTCGTCAGCAGACATCACATACTACTAGACAAATCCACCCACCATGCGCTCAGTGGACGATATATAACTAACAACTATGATATCTCTAAACAGAAACTAGCTACGCTTCTTCAGCTTCCCGCCTCGAGTGAACTGCTGAGCGCTAAGGTCCAGTTTCTCAAGATCACCGTCCCTGCGGATATCTACAGTAGCGGTATCATCTGCGAGGCTAGCGGAATCGTTGTGCATCTCCGACTACCATCAGAAGAATCTTTCGGCGCAGCAAAGGATGGAAATCCGAATAGTCGAAGGCCGTCTCAAGCTGGTACCCATGACTCTAGTGGCGATCACATTCTTCCGACTCCGGCCGATCTTGCGGAGTCGTTCCTCGATGCCGAACCGAAAGAGGAAAAAGAGGAACTACAAGCTGCTATCACATCTCGATCACAGGTGTTACACCGTACATCAGCGTCCATCAGCGACGATGAGGAGGAACTTGGCCTAGGAAACGAGGGTGTATCGCTGCCCAGTTTTGTTGCTGCTTTTTTGAAGGGAGTCGCGGAGCGCCTGCAGGTCAAGGTCGAGAATGTTTCAATACGAGTCGATATGGAAGCGAAGCAGGAGGGAGTCGTCAAGAGAGAACCGGAGAATAAACCTGATATCGTGACGGGACTTCTTACTGTGCGGGAGGTCTCCGTTGGTGCCGTGAGCAGCGCTACGTCCAGTCTTGAGGATGAGAAGCATTCCCGTATCCGGAACCGGCCCATCGTTATTTCTGACATCAACATGGCTTTGATATCTGAACCGATAGTTTTCTCGAATTATTCCCGCTTCGCCCCGCCTGTTTCGCCGACTACACCCGTGCAGCCAAAGTCAAGCGAGCCTTCGAGCAGGATTCCGTCACCCTTGCCCGGGCACGCATCCGATGCGGACTCCGTCCTAGCTATGACGCGATCAACAATCTTGGAGCCGCCGCAAGATCATTCGATTCAGGATATAGAAGAGCCCGGTGTGGGTCGAATGGAAGGATCCGCCTACACATACGATGGGCGGTTTTCTGATGCCGATACCGACGATGAGGATCGAAGTGATGGAGATCTGGAAGACTCGCAGCAGTTTTTGGACGATGATAAACTATTAGACAACCCTGCATATCTTGACTCCGTCATTGACTCTCAGTTGCATGACGATGATCTAGAACCACCAGAGGACCTCGTGCCTCAAGATGATCAATTTCCTCCCAGCAGTGAAACCCCGCGCCCTCAGACACCTGAGGTGCACATGCACCGCGAGACTTCACCGTCAGACATTGACACGGAGCATACAGCTCCCTTCTCACATTACGGTGATGGATCCTTTGTGGACAGTTCCCCACGCGGCAGTCAGCCTTACCTCGAGACTGATCACGTCGTAACTCGGGATGTGTCACATGGTGCCTCCTCATTTTCAGGATCCTTACCCTCTAGAGAAACTTCAGACAGGCAAACAGCGCCTCCTTCGGAAGCTGGTAGCGTGGGCTCATCTGATTTTGCCCATGGCGGCGAACTTTCTGAGTCCAAGCTGTTCTCAAATGAAGAGGCTCAGAGTATGTACATGAGTGCTATCAGTCAAGGTTCAAGTAGAAGTTTTGTTCCCAATATACCAGGCGCTTGGGATCTGCCGGAGTCAACAGTCGTACGAGATGTGCACGCAGGCACAGAGCCAACAGACGCGGCAAGTGCGAAACAGGATGTGCAAGACGAAACTTTTATATCTACACCAAAGCTCACTGCTCAGGCGGCCTCGACCCTTACAGAGACAAGATCATTCGGCGAACAAAGTGAGTGCCCGTCTGAGGCACGGGAATCTGATTTGACACCGCTCTCGCCTACGCTGAGCAAGCTTTCAGATGTTGCCAAGCGGTTTCTCCATATTGATCGAATATCGATATCCATCCCTGCTGATGAAGATAGACGTCATGCGGATGAGACTGTCCGTTCAGCAGACGTAAATTCAGCAAGTGACCGCCTGAAAGACTCAGCAATGCGTTCCGGTCATTCATCAGCCGAATCCGAATTGCTCTCTTCCACCATGTATGCTTCCGCACGGCTTCGCAGCGACTCGATCAATTCAGCCGCTTCATTCGAGGGCACCCTGCCCAGGCCGCCGCCTCGTCAAGCAAACAAGGCCGACCACGAACCCATCCCGAAATCTCAGCCGGGTGACATTGCTGTCGAAATATCATCTGTAGATGTGCGATTCGATAATGCAATTGGGTGGCTTGTTGTCAAGGCCGGCCAAAGGGTATTTCATGCCTTTGGTGGTGACGGCCGGGATTTTTCCAGTGCAAAGCCCGCTCCAGAACCTGTGCAGGCCCGGCACAGTCTCGCTCTCACTCTCCATAACTTTTGCATCAAATACGTTGATCACATTCCCGGTCAAACATATGGTCTCGGCGACTATGACCCCCATTCCTCGTCACTTTTTGGCTTGTCCCATGAAGATATCATTCTACGAGCGACGGCATCAGGTCTAACAGCCCGCTACTCGGCTGATAAAAATGTTACAAAGTTTGGCCTAGACGTCTCAAAGTTCGTATTCGGCTTCGCCTCGGATGACTTGATCTCATTCAGTGAAAGCTTGAAGATGCGGGAGTCCACAAGAGATGTCCTATCACCTGTGAATGGTGATTTCTCTCTTTCTCTGACCAAGTCTTCCGACTCTGCAAGCCTCACCATTACAACACTTCCTCTCCGGCTATATCTTAATGTTCAGCGCCTGGAGGAAGTCGTCGGGCGGGTTGGCGGCCTCAGTACTATCCTGGAGCTCGGAAATTCAATCTCATCTGTCTCCACCGGTAGAAACATGAAGAAGGATTCTCCACGACGGGCTCGTGGCGTTCATTTCGAGAGCTCACCGCCGCCTGAGAATAACCTTCAAGCCAATCCCCAACTCTCCTGGAAGGTGAATGCTCGAGTCGGTGGAATCGTTCTTGATGTTGCTGGTGAGACACATTATCTCAGGTTGAAAACGACTGCCGTCAAGGTTGTCAGCCGATTCGAGGGTATAGGCGTGCAGATTGACAAAGCCAAGTTGAGTGGGCCGTTACCTCTTGACGATCCAAGAGATGCGCCGGCAAAAATCAACCTGAGCAACATCCGCGTGGAGTACCTCTACACCCCCAAGGAACCCGATCTGGACCGGCTACTGGCCATAATAACACCGTCGAAAGATAAGTATGACGAAGACGACGACATTATGTTAGACACGCTGTTCCGCCAGCGTAGACAAGGCTCCGTTCTTCGTACTACAGTTGCGGGTGCGAAGATCGTCGTCTCGCGCACCAGTGACCTCGAGTCACTGTCTCTGCTTGGAGAGGAATTGGGCAGGTTATCTACCGTCGCAAAGTATCTACCCGAAGATGATCGCCCAGGCATCCTCACTCTCACTCTCATTCGAGAACTTGAATCTCAAGTCTACCTGGGTGGCCCTGTCGGAAATATCACGACGTATCTCAGAAACGCTGAGGCTGCTTATATCAGCATGCCGTCTCTCATCGCTGCGCAACTGGGTACAATCAAAGTCGTCCGAAACGGGAGCGAGGAGCTCGTGGGTGAAGCACTACCGGCGAGCAGCAACCAGGGTCAGAACCAGAGCCAACTTCCCATACTGATGGCTCGCTACATCGCCGATGAGATGGATCCAACTATCAAGATCAAATCTCACAATTTACGCGTAGAATACACCATACCGTCGATCATCGCATTCCTTGGGCTGAGTGAGGACCAGACGACAGGAGATGTCGCTGCCAATATGGCCAATTCTTTGGCCAATATTGCCGAATCGCAGCACTTACAGCGAAACGCTTCTGAAGTTTCAATTGGTTCAAAAGACCGGGAAGCGTCCGCAAAGCCAAG